ACCGGGTTCCATTACAGTGGGCGATGGATCAGTGCAAGTCACTCGCCCGTGGCTTTGTATATTACGAACAACTCAATAACGTTCTAATGGGATTCCAGCCATCCATGCGGGGCCGACTCCCCACTACGTCCTATAAAATTTTACTGCGGTTCACTTTTTGTGCAACGGCCCTTATCGAACTTCCATTGTTTTTGCAGTCGGCAACCTATTAAACCACAGCTAGCATTAATTGCGTGCGTATACCTAAATATCACATGGTCAATAGATTCCGTAACTATAATGACGTCATTTGATTAGATGTAGTTGAAGCTATTTAATAAAGTAAATCCCATCACATTCCAAGCAGTTGTTGCGCCTTCGAACCATAACTCTGTTGTCGGTTGTTTGATTTAATTTATTATTTTAATATTTGAATGTTTTGTTCTGTTCTATTTGATGCTAAGCTTTCAACTAGTTTGATTTTAGCGCTACAGATGTTGCTTAGATTCCCACGCTAAACATAGAGATGCTCTGATTGATATGTAACAGTACTCAATTGTATCAAAGTAGACGTCCGTCTACTGTGAACAATATTAAAGGGCAGGTTGTAAGAAATATTGCGTGTTAAGGTTGAAACGAAACACAAGTTGAATACAAATAAGATACAAGTAACAAGAAAGCGACCGTACCTGTGCCTTGAATCTCCTGTTCAGTCAGTCTGCTTAAGACAACGAAGTTAACACGTTACCAATCTAATTCCAATCAACGAAGCTATGTACTTATTTACATTGGTTTATAAAGGGTATATCCAAGATAATAACGTGGAGGACATAGATGTAATGACTTGGGACGAGGTTCCAACAATATCTACAGGGTAAATCGTATATATATTGATTCTTAGCGTGTCCGTAGTCGTAAGAAAAGGATTAATTTCCTCCTCGCTTCCAGTCTGCCCCAGCTGCTAGGAGTGTGCGGCGGATATTACGAACAGGCATCTTCTCCTGTCAGTCGAGTCGTTTCATTATATACATTAGACGCATATTTTATAATGAATTCCAGTTCAAACAAATGTTTAAAGCATTCGTCGACTTAGAATATTTATATTCTATAAACATATACCTGTTTACTTCAGAGATAAAAATATTAGATAACATCACATACGTTGCTCTGATCCCAAAGTGAGTAACTAAGTACTTGATTTATGGAAATCGGAAACAACGACGGTACCACAAACACCCAGACCGGAGACAATATAGAAAAAGAAGTTTTCTACGTTGACCCGGCCGAGGCTCGAACCAGGGATCTCAGAGATGGCGACATTATGAAAACCGGTGTGCAAGCCACTCGACCATGGAAGTTGTACTACGAGTACGTACTTAGGTAGGGAGTATTGTACCAATTTTTTTTTATAATACCAAGTGACGGGACGTACAAGTCGTGTACCTGGTGATAAGCGACATGCCTATCCATAACAGTTGCAGTGCCACTCAGAGCTTTAAATCGCAAAGATCTGAAGGGAACTGCACTGCGCCCCGTCACCCTGAAACATAAGTTGACAAGTTCCATGTTCCTGTAATTTCACCAGCACCAGCATTACACCGTTGTGATTTTTACGAGAAGCACCTGTTGTAACAACGTTACGTTATCATAAATACTAGTGCACGATAACTCCATTGCACTTTTATATCAAAATGTACGCAGGATTATTTTTCAGCGACACATGCACGCTATGTCAACGAATTTGAGTAACCACGCAGCTACGGATTGGCGGCCTAGGAAATTGTACTCATGGTCGAATATTCTGTTTGAGGTACCCAGCAACGCAATCTTACTCAATTAATATGGGCGTACGTCTTGAGTGTTCTCGAATTTCATGAGAGTCTGAACGCTTCAATTCTCCTTCGGTAAATTGATGCGATCTCGATCACATTATGAATCCGTTATCTTATACCTTAACTCATCTTCAATGAATCGATTGTTGTCTGACAGATTACTAATACTTTATATAATCTGTGTACGACGATTTTGCCAAACTAAATTCTACCATTTGACACAGTTGATAACTATTGACTGTTTCGTTATAATAATGGTTATACAATTTGTACCTATCGCAATGTTAACTTTTAATCGAGCTCATTCATTGTCGCACAGCGTAGAATAAGACAAGACCGGAAGAGCGGATATAGGCAGTAACGTAGAAATGCTCTTGATTATACGACGTACCTTGTCCAAACAAACACTGAAGATGCATCAAATATACAGCGGAAATTCCATTACCGCAGGCAAATAGGCCCTTTGAACGTACACCCCTCTCATAAACAAAGCGATGCACTTAGAGACAGCTTCTACGTAGCCGCATACCATTCCAAAAATAAACTCGTTCACACTAACATTTCTCCGGTGTATGTTTAAAAAAATCTTACAAAGCAAACACCAACATGACTTGTTACAGTTAAACATTCACCTGCCAGACATAAAGTAAATAAATTATGGAAATTGTGGAAAAAAACGTAAAGAAGTTCAATTTGTTAAAAAGTTTTATGCTTTATATCCGGGCCGTGCGCAATTTTTGTTAGTCGTACGTACGAGGAAACGTCTAGTTGACCTGAATGAGCCGCCAGTATTTAGCGTTTTAATTTAACCTACATATATTCGCTTAGTTATGGGTAAATAAAGCCCTCTGGTTCTGTAAACGTTACTTGACAAATAATTGATGACGTTACACCCGGCGGAATGCCCGCCCGCAAACCGGAAACCGGGGCGCACTACCGTTAACATCGTGAAATTAGAAAACCAGTTTACAGTTAAGAGCCTTTGAAATAATGGCTTCAATACTGACATCGTTATCTATGTTGTAATTGTGGTCATTGTCATTAAACAACGTTGACAGGCGCATTCTTACCATCATACACATACTTAAGTACTTTTTTACCGTGTAAACTAATTAACACAATGACTCTACTAAACATCACGTATAGGAATTTAAATTGTACAAACACGCGACATTCTATTAACTGAAGTGTAATAATATTCAACGTGTTTAACTGCATCTGCATAGTTTGCATTTGCACATTTTCCACTTCATTATCTCGATGAGTAGAGGACATTGATTATTCGTGTTTATGAAAAGATTGTGCAATGATTTGTCGCTACACCTACACATAATTTGACAATTTCATCGACAAAAGATTTAATTTTCTATTTCTTTAACATTATTTTCTTATTATTCCCGTTGATTGAATATTTCTTCTTTCGTAATTTGAACAAAATTGCTATGGGAGAAGCTAACATTATAACGTAATAATAAAATAACTCAAGTATAAAAAATGCTGTACAAACTTTGTTAATAAAATAAAATAAAAATAATATATATATATATATATACATATATAATATATATATATATATGTACTACCACCTTATCTCTGCCGCGAAGGTGTGATGTAAGCGTTACCGTTTACCGGCTTTGAAGGATAAGTGTGCTGGTGAAATTACAGGCACATGGGACTTGTCAACTTATATCTCAGGGTCGTAGTGACTGTGCCCCTCAGATCTTTGCGATTTAAAACTCTGAGTGACACTGGAACCGCTTTGGACAGTCGTGTCGCTTACCACCAGGCGCACGACTTGTGCGTCCCGTCACTTTGTATTATTAAAAAAATTCTTAGTGTTTATAGTGCTAGGTTGTTATAGGTACCTAATAAACATTAATATACATAGTGACATTCTATTTGTCTAATAGTTTTATTTTTATCTTCACGGTGTACATTCAATTGAAGCCAATCAAATTTGATCGGACCGTTTATTCTCTATTTTCGCGAGATTCATAATGTGAAATTTATGTTTCAATTTTTGTTTCAAGTTGGTACAACTAAAAGCGACACATTTTAGTTATAAAAGTTTCGGTTCATACCCGAAACTTTTATAACCACTAGAGTTTTTAATTACACAATAATATTAAATTTTTTTCTTTTTCAATTTGTATTCGTGTCCATGTATTGACCTTCGGTGGCCCTTACTTAGCTTTACGTTTACGTACAAGATCTCATCTGGCATTAATATCAGCCGAAAACACTCGGTCGCCTTAATTGGATGTTGAATGCCTTTCGCAACCGCCGAAGCTCGCTCACAATGACCTGTGTATTTTTAAATAGAACGAGTCTTTCATTTACCTCAATATACTGATAAAACTGACATAAGGTAAAGTCTTACTGTATTGTTATTGTCAATGCGTGACTAATGTAGAATATAATATTTATGTACAATTTTACGGGAAAATGTGCTTCCTTGAATCCTTTGTATCGTTCAATATATATACATTTTGTTGATACTTTTTGTACTGCTTTACTACAATGAAAGTGATTTTCATTGCGTATTTGCGATTGCTGTATATTGAAAATGAATAAAACACGGCCACAACCATGGGATCGGTAAATAGCTCAAAAAGCTTTGTTAGAAAAAATAAATATACGCTTAAGATCCGGAAAAAATAGTTTCTTCTTCCCAAAGTGCTTTTTTTTCTGATAAATCACGAACGATTACAAAATTGTTTAAATTTTTATTATCCTCTTTATTTCATGCGGCATTAATTCGTAATAACTTTGTTCATTGCCTCTTCCGATTGTCATTTTAAATTTAATGTTGTCCAGTTTTCACAATTGCTGTTCTTTGTCTAATTTGAATAATGAGTCGAAGGATTAGTATTGTGGTTCCGTTTTATGACCAATTGCACTTTGCTTAAGTAACTTGTCAAAATGGTGTAACGTCAGTTTGCACTAAATTTCGATTACCAAATACCCTTTAGAATTTATAATTATTTACTGTGGTAGCTGAGAGTTTAGAAATAAAATACGTTATACGCGACTATCATGAAATGTTATCCTAATTTACTAAAACCTGACCTGTTTGTTCTGGGTAAATTATTTATAGCTGAGCAGTGTTTTCCATTATGTTCCTCATATATGAACCAAGACGTTACGAAAAATTAGTAAAAATTCTGATGAGTGTGAATTTGTTCACAGACATTCCTGATATTCCGGAAGACATCAAGAAACTGCGGGCGCTGCAAATCGCAGACTTCAGCAGCAATCCGATCCCGCGATTGCCGGCCGGTTTTAGCCAGCTTCGAGCACTCACCGTTCTCGGCCTCAATGACATGTCCCTTACGAGCCTGCCTAGCGACTTTGGAAGGTAAGATCTAATTTAGAATATTGTTATAGATTTTATACTTCGTCTAATTATGATGCACAATACGTGTACATAGTATGATAGACCCTACCCTTTCGACCCCTTCTTGATTCACTACAGTTTTCTTAAGACCATCTCCATAACTCGGTGGTCACTTCTACCTCTATCAGTATTTTTTGTTCCACCCCTGGATGCACAATACTGATTGAAGCAGCAACTTCAGATTAAGAAAGTAAGCGAGCGAGAGCATACCGTATTTTTGCGAAATTCGTGTCCCGTATACGGCACGGCATTTTCGTCAATCTCAATAGTCCTTCACATGTTTTGCAGGTTAAAACTGTATTTTACTCGAACTAACCAAGAGAACAGCTTTGCAGCAATTAATATTTGTTTCATTACTTCCTTCTTCTCTACGACGAAGTCATTTAGTACAATAATTAAAATAATAATATCATGCGGTCAGGGACGAGGTAAGAGTAAGTAAAATCTTAAAAAAATTCCTACACTCATCAATCGGGAATTGCTATCTTATATGGATGTAATTTTGCAAGATGAATTGTAATTTTCTATTCGAAATAATATATTTTTAGTATGAATAGATAATAATACTCTTCAGCACGTGTGATTAATATCGATTACGTACTTATTATGACTCGTAAAGATGATCGGAGAACTTATGGCCTAGTTCCAAAGTGATTTACATAATATGGAAACCCCTCTTATGTATTTTATATTCCTTTCCAATGACAATTAGCTCAGACTTTACATTTAAAAATATTACTTATTCTTGGATGACTGAAATGAACTCATGTTTGAGATAAAGATTACCTATCTCTTAAAAGTGATTGAATATGTCGAGTAACCTATTACACGGCGCTTAGTCACTAACAATAGTTGTTAATAAGTAACGAGCTAGATACTTCTCACTTAAATGACTTCGCTTTTAAAATGTCACGCGCAAAGTCACTGGATCCGAACTTTGTTCAGCTATTTACAAACGCGTAACTCTCGCTTTCGGGAGTTCTGAATTATTCAAACTAGCTTTCATCTACACTTCTAAAATTCTCATTCCTTTAAATCTAAATACATTTTTTTTAAACATTTAAAACCTGCTATATTGGCCAATCAAAGTCTGGGTATTACTTTGCATTTCGCGCCTGAAGTGTCGTATCCGACAGATTTATTATTATTTTAGCAAGTAATTAATTACTAACCTGATTACAAACAATAATCAACTTGAAAATTTTTGCTATCTTTTTTGTTTTGTAATTTATTATTTTATTATTTGTTTTAAGTTTGTAATTTATTATTTGAATCTTTAATTCTCCGTACGTACTTCATACACATATGCTACGTGTACACAGCACACTCATTTGCACAGACAACAATCTTTTTTCTCTTCTCATTTTAATGCTCCGCGTAAACTTTTGGGAGGTAGCTGAAAATCAGCGCGTCGTTTTTGGCGGTGTTTTTACGCTGAGCTGCGTCCTGCAGCACACATGATACATTTTTTCTATTATAAGTTGATTTGAGTTTGTATTTGTTGTTTATATAATCCTGTTTTTGTTCGTTTTAAGTATTTACTTCATTGTTTGTTCTGTCTTTGAATTTCATATGTGTAGGCTTTGTTGACAAATAAACTATATATCTATTACAACTGCCTTATCCCTGTTTTAAAGTTTCACTCTACTTGACGTAACGAGCGAAAAGACCTAATAATATTTCACAAGGTTTCCCTTCGTACATTTTATCCGGAGATTTTATCACTGAACGTAATATTCAAATGAATCAAAAAGAGAGCGTGTTTAATTATGCTAAATTATAGTTCAAAATGATTCCGTATTACCTAATACTAGGTAAGGACTGTCTCAGTCGTTCGATCGTTAAAGTCGATAAATGAGAAACACGATTTGCGTGTCAGTGTAAACAGACACGAAAATGCTCTGTCAAAGTTTGAAATTCCGGATTGAAAGCGAAAGTCGGCTGGAAATCTGCGAGTTGCTTCGACCAATCTTTGGTACATGATGTATATACTTACTGACTCAAAAAAAACTGCCGTTATCTGTGCTCGCAATGTTGCTCTTTTGTGTCATTACTTTACACCAAAGTTTTTCATTAATCTCGAAAGAATTGGATTTAGACGAATGAGATAGAACGAAATCTTTTCCATTTTCACGTTTTCAAGTGTGAACATAGTACGTAGTACTAAGGTGTAACTGATGCATGACGATTAGTTTCCGCTTGTAAGGCGATCTATCATGTTCAAGTTTTCTGACACCTTCGACTTATGGCGAATATGCGGATGACTAATGCTATCATAAATGTTTATGTCAACATGTTAAATTGAGTGTTTATTTATATTGACAATTTTGGTATTGTGCATCAAGAGAACCAACATCATCGACGTAGCTGGTAAAATAAGCAAGCTGAAGTGGCAGTGGACTGGCCATGTCTGTCGAAGAACTGATAACTGATCGGGGAAACGAGTTTCTGAGTGGAGACCACGGCTCGGCACACGTAGTGTAGGACGCCCTCTGGCCAGATGAAGAGACGATTTGCGAAAAGCTGCTGGCAGCAGATGGATACGACATGCCAAGGGCCGAGCGAAATGGTGCACGTTGGGAGAGGGCTATGTCCAGCAGTGGACTGCGACAGACAGAAAATGACATTTCTGAAATAGTAAACATTTCTGCACCTTCACTGGGCGGAAAATATGTTGTTTGGTTAGCTATAGTAATAATAATAATGTGACAGACAACCACACAACGTATCTACAGAACACCCAGCCCGGGACCAATTCAGAAAATTCGTTTCTCATATTGGTTTTACCAGGAATCTAACTCGGAACCTTGTTATCTAGTGCGTAGAATGTTAACCTTCGGGTCAGCAAAGTTGTCAGGCAATATTTCAATATTATGTTACTTCGACATTTCTATTGCTTTTTCCGGACTATTAATTAACCATAATATTTACGTAAAGATGCATAACGTAAATTACGGAACTAGCCGTCGGAAGGAGGTTTTTAAAAAGGCGATTTT